AGACTCCAGTGTCCAAGCCTCATGAACATTATAACATGCTACATAAGCAAATAAATATGTACTTCATTGACTGAGAGCTTTCTTCCAACCACAGCATTATGTCAACTCTACTTTAAGATGACAGCTCTTTCCTATTGCATTTTGAGCATTTTCCAACTGAGGGTCTCATCTTTTGGTATTGTATCACATGATGCCACATTGTGCATCATAAAATTTTCAGTGGTCTGTTATTTCAGAATTGGGTGGTTAATTCTGCTTCTAAGTCTGTCTTAAATTGGTGGTTCTGTTCATGTAAATCACCAAAACACAACACACTGACAGATCAGTGATAGGTATCTAGGCAAACATTACTTTTAAGAAGAAATTAATATTAATGAGGAAACAGATGTGATAAAGCTATTGTTGGTTGCCATCCATTGATTCCAACTCATGGAAGCTCCATGTGCTCAGACAAGAACGGCTCAATAGATGTTTTAAATGAGCTTTGGTGCCCTAATGGGTAAGGACTTTCTCTGCCAACCCAAAGACAAATGCTTTGAATCTACCAGCTTCTACAGTGAAGAAAGATGGGCATCATCCTCCTGATCAATTTATTATCTATGAAAGCCCTTTGGAGGGTCTGCTAAGAGTTAGTTCCAAATGTGGCACATAATAATATATGTGTTTCAAAGCTATAGCCAATGACCAAGCTTATCTTTCAAGGTGTTTCTGAGTTGGTTTTGAACTACTTTTAGGCTAATCACTTAATTGCTTATAACATCTGCTGTTGTTCTGTCAAGTTGCAACTGACCCATAGCTGACCTTCCAGGTATCTGCCCATAGCTGACCCTTCAGGGAGTATTCAGAGACAGCCAAACCCATGGGTTGGTGAAGACTGCCCATCTTTGTTTTGTGGAGCAGCTGGTGGATTCCAATCTTCAGCTTTTGGGATTGCAGTGCAGCTTCTTACCATTAGTCACTAGAGCGGGATTGGAGAGTGACACATCAATAATCTGTATTACGCAGATGACACAACCTTGCTTGCTGAAAGTAAAGAGGACATGAAACACCTGTTGCAGAATATCAAGGAATGCAGCCTTTGGAATGGATTGCATCTTGATGTCAAGAAAATAAAGATTTTTACCACTTGACCTATAAGCAGTGTCATGATGCATGTACAGGAGGCTGAAACTATCAATAGCTTCATCTTACTTGGATCCACAGTTAACACCCTTCATACCAGCAAACAGGAAATAAGGAGATGCATTGCACTGGGAAAATCTCCTGTTAGAGACCTTTACAGATAATTGAAGAATAATGATCCAGATTTGAGGACTAGAGTGTGTCTGATTCAGGCCATAGTTCTTCTAATTACTTGCAATGCATCTGAGAGCTGGGCAATCAATAAAAAAGACGGAAAAAGAATTGACACTTTTGACCTGTGGTGTTGCAGAAGAGCACTGAGCATCTCATAGATGGCCAAGAAAACAAATAGATATGTCTTGGAAAGGGTGCAGCCAGAGTGGTCTTTGGAGGCAAGAATAATGAGGCTTTGCCTCACATACTTTGGGCATGTTGCTAGTAGATGCTATTCATCAGAGAGAGACATGAGGTTGGGAAGGGTGATGGGCCGGCAAAGGAGAGGAAGACCCTCAACCAAATGGATTGACATGGTGACTGCTGCAGTGAGCTCTTGTGTATCAGGAAGTGTGAGGATGGTGCAAGACAGGACTAGGTTCAGATATTTTGTTCATAAGGTCACTATTAGTTCCTAATAATAGCAACAAGTTTAAAACTAAGAACGGTGTATGCACGAGTTGTATCTTCTTTTCATATGTATTCAATCTGTCTGCTGAACAAATTATTTGAGAAGCTAGACTATACAAAATGTGGGATCAAGATCAGAGGAAGACTCATGCAATAACCTACGTTATGAAGATGACATAACTTTGCTTGCTGAAAGTGAGGAGGGCTTGATTCCCATTTCACTGTAGTCTTTGGCAGTAAGGTTTGGTTTGAGTTGAAGGCATCAGCAAACATTTTGAGAGAGATGACATGAGCAGGGGATATCTTTCTTATATTTAAATGCACATAACTTGTCTTTTTGAGTAAGTTATCTCCAAACTTATTAAAAAATATGTTTTAAAGGGACCTTAAATAATGACATTTTAGGGAGTAAAGAAATGGAAAAGGTCTGGTGTGAAAAAAAATGTATATGAACTTCATTTGATATGATGGATATATTTACCTTTTAGTTAAATTGTCATAGCATTTAAGATTTTTATTTTGAATATTTAATCTATCAGTAATTAAATCAATTGTTAGTTGCTCTAGTAGTTAAAGTTAATTTCTCCACATAAACATTCAATTAATAAGAATCTCAGCCAACATATCCTTTATGGTACCTGCAGGTAGGTTCAAATGACCAACTTTTGGAGCTATTAATGAAGAGCTTTGCCATCTGCACAACCTAGGAACTTTCTAAAACTTTTAAGACAAAACGTCTTAAAAAAATAAATGTTTTTTGTCAGAGATTAAACAAATGTCTTTTATCACCCCTTAGGAAACTAGTGGCACAAGGAGGTACACTGCTAACCCAAAGATCAGGCCCTTGTCACAGTTCAAATCTATCAACAGCTTCCTGGGAGAGAGATGGACAATATCTTCCTGTGGGATTTAGTCTCAAAAGCCCAATGGAAGGTCAGTTAACGGACTATAATGAGTGAGTGATTTGTAGTCCTTAAAATGTCCATAAAAGACATTTAAGGTAAAATTCTTGGTCTAAAATGTAATATAAAATACCCATCAGAAAAAAAAAATACCCATCAGGCACTTTTTTATAAGAAACAAATGTTTTTCCAAATATATTATCTCTTTTTCTTCTTTTCTTCCTGTCTTTCTTTTCAATAGCTTTAACTTTCAAATGCTTATAACTTTCTATTTAAAGTAGTTTGATAATTTATCTGTCCTATAAAAGTTTTTTTCATACTATATTTTTCAGTGTAAGTCTTATTTTTACTATGCTATTACAGGTAGTAATCAACTTCTTTCAGAAAGAAGCTGAAATGCTTTACTAAATTAATTCAGAACTTTCCTTGTTTAAAATGAATGCCCTTTTCTTTGTGTTGAAAACTGTTCTCACAGCAGATAACCTTTAGCTCAGGTCTTTTTCATAGCATATTAAACTCACATTTATCCTAATTGTTGAAATAAAGGTAAAATCTTGTATTAACCATTTGGAATATCTTGTTAGGCATAAAATTTTAACCTCTGAAGATTTAATATAATAAAGTTTATCCCTGAGGCAGGTATATTAATTTAGATTGAGCTTTTACATTCTGGACACATTCTCCATGAAAGAATGTTTGGGTTCTAAAGAGAAGCATTTGCTGATTAGTAGAATATAGAATCTGCTTGGTCTAAACATAAACAGATGTAAAATATTTTCTGTAATTTACTCTAAATCTCTTTTTTGTTTCTATTGACAGTGAACAATAAGCATATCTTTGGAAAAGAAGTAATAGTGCTGTAAGATTTCTCATAGCTTCCTAATAATTGAAGTAGCTACTACAGTCAGTGGTTAACCCAAAAGCTATGCTAATTTTATTGTTGTTGTTATTATTATTATTATTATCATCATCATCATCATCATCACTGGCCAACTTGGAGTCTTAGACAAGTACAAATTCTTCATTCTTAAACTGGAAATATATATTACTGCACTGGTTTACTGACTTAACAATAAGTAGCACTATTAAGACTACTGATCATTTCAAATAACACAATTTATGGTATAATGATATGGAAATAATATTGGTAATAAAATATTTGGTACCCTGTTTAAAAGACAAATTATCTTAATTTTGCTAACAATATTTAAATTATCTAATATTTGAACTCTGTAAGGACAAGTAGGATCTTTGACATAATAGATAGTTATTTAGATTACTAGTAAGAAATGCAGACATCTCAAATCTTCTCCAGGGCAGAAAACGTCATTTCTCACAGATTCTATGACTTGTTATTTTGTTTCTAAAAAACATATATATATTCTATATATATCCATGTGATCACAGGGAACATTACATAATTATTGTGCTAATCAAATAAAAAACAAGTGAACACAAATATTTTAATAAAGATCTTAATGCCTAAGTACTCTTTACAACCCCTTCCCAAAAATACATGTCTGATGGAGTCAGAGAAGATAAAGGGAATAATAATAATAATAACAACAACAACAATAAGTAAGGATAGTATAGTCAGCTTTGTTATTCTGGAAAATTCTCTCACTACGTGACTTTTTGTACTTTTCCTCTTTCCATTTGTCAGCTTCAGTAGCATGGTGTCTGCATGTGCTGCTTCTCTCCAGGGAGTCTGTGCAGCAAGAAATTCGTGTGAAATAATAGCATGTAATGATTCTAGTTACAGCAGTTAATAACTCGTTAAGCAGCATTTCCCTCAAATGGCTGTTTTCATTGCCCCAAAGCAACCTCCTCCATCTCAAATCAATTCTTTGCTCCTTTTAGATGATGCTCTGACTTCCTCCCAAAATCTCTGCTCCAATCCTGTATCACACAAGGCAATCCTACAATGATGCCCTTTTAAAGCACCCGAGGATCTGCTTTAAGAAGACATTGTAAGGTTGTCATGTGTTTCCCGAGAACAGGAAAGAGGGTAGGAGGAGAAGAGAGAAGAAGGAAATCCGAAAAGAAAGAAAGACTGCAGCGCCCCAGAAGGCAGCCTGTGACCCAGGTGGGGAGGCGCCCAGTGAGCCAGGAGTTAAAGGCCCCGCGCAGCCTTGGAGGAAAGTTGCGAACACTGGCCAAGGAGTCCGCGCTCCGGCCCACTTCCCACTCCCCACCCACAGAGCTAGCTGGGGTTGGTGAGGGCAGTGAGCACGCAAGACAAGCGGAGGCTGACGTGGAATGAGCTGCCAGGTAGCTCAGCGCCGGCAGAGGCAACACGCAGTCTGCAGCCAGGATCTGGACTCAACATTCTTCCCAATTCGCTCCGCGTGATTTTAACCTCCGCGAATCATAGTCCCTCTCTCCAAAGCCAGTTCTCCAGAGCTAGCAGCAGGATGCTAGCAGCGCTGTGCCCAGGGCTCAGAGACAGAGCCTGGGAATAAATTTTCTTTTAGGACTTTCTGGCTACTGGCTACACTGATGTGACTTACCCCTTTGGAATGATGGGGATCTTTATGGCATATGTTGGATTTGTTTTCTTTTCTGTTTTACATATACAGCAAGGACTTTCTTCCCAAGGTAAGCTAATGCTCATTGGCAAATACGTGTGTGTGTGTGTGTGTGTGTGTGTGTGTGTGTGTGTGTGTGTACACGCGCACGCGTGCGCGCTTTTGTGTGCAGCGTTCTTTACATTCAAAGAATGGTCAGACAGAGATTCTTAGCAAGTCTCAATTTACACCGCATGAAGGGTGCCTTTTTTTTCCTTTTAAGTTTATTACATTTTAGGCAAGCTAGGTTAAAAACATTTTAGTTGGTGCTTAGTGATAGAGTGGGTCCTTGAATGACCACAGTTGTGTGTGTGTGTGTGTGTGTGTGTGTGTGTGTGTTTTCTGTGTCCATGCACAGGATCACCACTCATGCATGCATAATTATCGCAAACCAACAGCTGAGGATGGAGGACTCTGCCTGGCTAGTTCTCCTTTTCTTCAGACTAGACAGGATAGGTTCAGGAGTTTCCCTTGTCTGAGTCACTGTGACTTTGTTTGCATATTTATTTTTCAAAGGACATAGTCTTCTGAGGACCTGGAAAAAAATGATAGACTTGCATTGCAAAATTAATCAGCAGCTCTGCCAGAACCCAGTTGTTTGGAATTTAGCAGCCTGCAGTGCTCTTTTCAGTGCCTTCAACAGATCACACTGCTGCTGCCAAAAGACTGCATCACCTTAGCACGCAAATAACCAGGCTTCCTTCCCCAGAAAAGTCCTTTCAGACTAGTGTACCAGCTATGCATCCTTTTAAAACTGTACAGATACAGGTCTGGTGCAGTGGAGATCATTTTGGGATTTCATATCATTTTGAAAAGATACAGTGTAATGCTGGAGGGGGAGGATTGGGTAAAGTGTATTCACCCCCCATCCACCATTTAGCCCCTCTGTTCTCTCATCTCTCCCAAAGTGGGCATCTTGTCCATCAACCCCTTTAGCCAAAGACTGTTCTAACACTATGTTTTGCAAACTCTCGGTGCTTTGTAAAGCATCCCTTACAAAAGAAAAAAAACATGGAGCTAAAGAAACATCTTTGAGAAAAAGGATATTTTATTTATGTAAATTTCACCATATGTCTATGAAATCTTGTGAGCTAGAAGTGGCAAGATAAATAAAGAAAAATTGAGAAGAAATATGTAATGACTTCAAAATAATCTATCATCTATACCGAAACTGGAAATGAGACCCTTGCAATTTAAGATTAGTGGTTTGAGAGGAACAAATATGAAGGTTAATTTTCAAATAGAAATCTACAGTCAAGAAAGTGTTCAGGTTGATCCTGATGTAGGCTTCAAAATTACAACTGTTGGTAACTATTTGGATGTATCAGAAATGTGCATTTTGACAAATAATCATGATTCACTCTCTACTGCATGAAACACCCTGTTAGTCATAGCTTGTTTAGAAACTTAAGAAGCCTCATACATCACCTTGACAGACTGTCTAAATTTTACTGCACTGTATCCCTCAGTAAGTTTGGGAGAATACTGCAATCTGACAAAAGGTGTTTGGGTCTGGGAGCAGCTTGGCTAGCAGAGGGGGGAGTTATTGGCAAGCTCCTTAACCTTTCCATTATCTGGACTTGATCAACAACAAAGCGATTTAGGCCCTATGCCAAAAATAAGACAGGCACAGCAAAAGAACTGGGGGAGCTAGACAAAGTCAGGCTGTAAAAAAGGGGTTGGCTGTGCTGTTCTATTAGTACCCTTTCCCATCAAAAGCTGATGCAAAGAGCTTTCTCAAAGAAAGAGACCTTAACTACAGTGCTGTGGGCATTCCAAAAAGATGCATTTCTTTTTTCGCAGCAAAATTCACTGAGTTTCCTCGGAATGTGACAGCGGTTGAGGGCCAGAATGTGGAGATGTCCTGCGCTTTCCAGAGTGGCTCAGCCTCCGTGTATCTTGAGATCCAGTGGTGGTTTCTGTGGGGGCCAGAGGACCTGGACTCAGGGGCTGAGGTAGCAGGTGCACAGGTAATGGATGCTTTGCCTGGAATCTCCCCCCCCCACACCCGTACCTGTCCCTGCCCCACTTACTCTAAGTCCTCTGGGTATCCAGCTTGGATCAAGGTCCAAGCTGTGCCTAGGCGCCCTATGCACTCATGAAGTGAACTTGATGGCCATGAATGGCACGAGTGAAGTGGAGTTTCATGGTTACATTAAGTAAAGCTAGGGAATATGTCTAAAGCTGGAAGACCCTCTTTCTCTTGGTATTGATTCTTATTAATGTTTTCAGAAAGCCAATACAGCTCCAAAGACACCAAAGGTTCCTTTCCGGAACGAGGGGGCAGGAGGAGTAGCATTGTGTCAGGTCTCCATTTCCATCTGTCCATAGGTGTTCACTTCGGTTGCAGAAAAGAGTCTGGAGAGAGAAGGGGAAATTGAGGGGGAGGGAGAGAAGAGGAAACTATGGAATTGGGAGAGCGAGTGCACAAGAGCAGGAAGAGGAGAGAGGAGGGAAGGGAAGAGAGAAAAGAGAAGGAAGGAGGGGCACCAAGAAGGCAGTGGAGAGAGCAGGGGATCAGTGGAGAGCAAATGAGGGGGTGAGAGGTTGGGAAAGCAGAGAGGAGAGAGGAGGTGGAGAAGGGAATGGTAAGTGGGAAGTATAGAAGGAAAGAGAAAAAAGCAAGGTCACAGAAGAGGAAGCCTCAGTTGAGCCAAGGGAAAGGCAGTGAAGAAAAAAAAAATTGTGCCAGCGATCCCAAAAGAAGGGAGCTGGGGCCCTTCTGAGACCAGACTTCTACCCACTCCCTGGAGCCACCTGGCCTTACTTTCTCACTGCTCAGGGTGTTCATCTACCCTACATGGATCCAGAGCTGGAGTCAGAAGGGACCTGCCAAGACAGGGCTGCGCTTCAGCGCAGTAGCCACAAGCCCCGGGTTCCTTGGCGCGGTGGTGACTGACACCATCCAGCCCTGTGAGGGATGGACACAGGCAGAGAGGTAAAATCGGAGAGTAGCCCACATGCAGTTCTGGATGACCTTGGTTAGAATGTTTCTATAAGCACAAAAACCTATGTCTCCAGTGGCACTTTGCTTCGGCTCCCTGGACTCTCAGTTCAGGGAGTTGGAGGGTTTGGGAAGGGGCAGGGCACAAGAGCCTGGCCAGCTTGAGCTTTTGTGTCCTTGCACAGGTGGAGCTCTTACCTGAGAGAGACCTGGACAATGATGGCACCAAGATCAGTGTAAGTATCCATGGGGACAGGCCACAAACGCCTTAGCAGCCACCAGACAGGCCCATGGTGGGATTGTAAATGTTGAAAAACCCTTCAAGTTATGCATTGGTGACAGAAAAATTGAAACACATTTGGATGCAAATCATGAACGTATTTAACCTGTGAGCAGAAGATTATTTTGCCTGACAGAGGTTTTTTATATTGTAAAAAGTAAAAGTCTGCAATACTAGCATCCATTAAAAATTACAGAGACCATTACTCTTCAGTGGGAAGTAGGACACAAATCTTCCTAAGGAAAAAAAGAGCTACAGAATTCAACAGGATGCCAATGTCCAAAAGGAAACAATGTGCTTAAAATGTCTTTCATAACCTCCGTAAAAGATATGCATTGCTCCTGCCAGGGTTCAAAGTCCTATGATATGAATAAAAAAACCATAAGAGAGGAGGTTGACCTTTTGAGAATGCAGAGATGTATTTTTACTTTACCAGTCATTAGTTTTAATAATTTAATGTGAACTTTAAATTCAGCAAAACAAAACATGGCAATATTAATCCTTATTTCTATGATTTAATAAAGTCATATAGAACCATTAGGTATTAATAAGGTGAAATACACTATGTATATTATTACCTTTTTATTTTATTTTAGATTTTTCCAGTTGTTATTATTTGTTCATGCATGCACTTTCCTCCCCTTTTCAATTACCCCTTTAAGACTGTTAATTGTCATACATGTAGTTTCTAATTGCCACTTTCAGAAAGCTCTTCCTTTTTAAGAGCCTAAAAATTCAATTAGGCACACTCAAAGCTAAAATTTCTTTTGAAACTATTACAACACAAAAAATAGTATTAAGATTGGATTTCCAACACTCTTAGAAGTGTAAAATTATAATGTAGTATAAAATTATAATGTAAAAATAAGATTAAGTCCTGTCTTCTAAATCTACAGTCTCAGCATAGGGAAAATTATTGACTGCAATATATTATTGTAAGATAAGAACTGATTTCTTTTCATAAACATACTGACTGTTTTAACAGCTCAATTTCAGTTCTTATGTTACAAAAAATGTTACTTTCATGCAATGAGAGAAAAGCATGACTTATAAGAGCAGTTGTAAAAAATACATTATTTTAAATTATCTTACTTTTTATATCACATAATTGGAGAGACTGAAAGTTGAACATTCACCTTTCATCATTAAATACAGCCATTTTGCCAATATATCAATAACCAAAAACAGCCTTATGGGGCCCTGGCCCACGGATAAGTAGATGTTGTATGTTTTCAAGTAGTAACTAACTCATATTTGAGCCTCTAGTGGGATTTTGGAGGCAATGAATCACAAGGAAGGAGACTGCCCATCCTTCTCCTGCAGAATAGTTACTATACTTGCCTTTGGGATTGCAGTGCACCTTCTTACCTTGAGGCCACCAGAGCTCCCGTGTATAACCATAAACACAATTGCCAGAATTTTGATCTGTGCTGGTGGCACTCCATAAAATCTAGTGAGCTGAAAAGTGTCCTAAAGTAAGTGGAAAATATCATTTTACCTATCATATAACTTTGAACACGTGTCCTAGATCAGTAATTAACTAAAATTTCTCTTGGTAATTTTATAAACTGGTAGTATTGGTCCCAGTAAAAACTGACTTAATAGTTATACTTTATTACATTTGGGAGTATTGTGAAAAAAAAATACATACACACCCCCTTTTCCTGGTGATTCTGACATTCAGCTGCAAAGTACTGCCCCCAGCCCCTTAAGCATCATTTTAGTGATCTCTAAAAAAACAGGATGAATCCGAAAATCTCTGTAGATGTTCATTGAAATGAAAAATAAACAACCTAAATTTAAAAAAAAAACAACAAAACAGGATGATGTCAATAATTTAAACATTGTGACTACATCAAAGTTTGCTAGGAGAGTTCACTGAGAACATACTTGGTAATATTTACTTCTATAATCTTTATAGTTGTTATATTTAATTTTGCATTTATAAATTCATACATTGGAATTTAAAATTATTCATTAATATCTATAAAACATATATATTTATATACACAATTAATACTTCTCACATTATCCTAACAATTTATACCCATGTTATATGTGATGATCAGTAGCAAAACTTAACTTCTTCACTTTTTTCTTTATCTTTAAAATCATACCAACTATTAAATGTTATACACCAACTTTCAACAACTAATAATACATGATGTATATAAAATGTAACTGTTCTAATAAAGAGAGAGAGAGAGAGATTATCTATAACTATTAATCTGGGATAAAGATTTGCAGAAGGAATCAGAGAACAAATTTCAATTTTTCAAATAAAACTGGTGTTTTAGTTTATCATAAAGTCTTCATGATAGTAGGTGTAAGACTTTCAGGCACAGATTTCAAGTGATAATAATACGGCCATTCCAGGATCATACACAAGATTTCACCAGAAAAGTTGAGGACAATCTCTAATACCCAGTGTTATTTTGTTAATGCCTTTAGGAATCTTCTTAATGTGCAGATAAAGGTGCATCCTCACCTGGACTCTGTTGTAGCAAACAAAATTATTTCATGATCTTTTAAAATTCAAGAGCTTATTTTTAATACAAGGTGAAGAAAAGTGGCAAACTTCTACTTGATCTCAGTCTGTGTTTAATTCAACTGAATATACAAGGTAGAAACTGGCTCCAAAATTAGGAAAGGACAGTTAATGTTGGACCCTGGGAAAGGGCTGATTGATTCTAGAGCTGGGTTGATTAGATCCAGATTCTGTGAACCCAGCTGTGAGTAGAATGAGATAAATAAGACCTTCTGATTTTACTGTTGAGAAAATGAAAATCTTGCTCTTTATACTGGTTGTAAGGCCATTCAAAACTAAGCCAGACCCATGTCATGTGTTACACAGGTTTTCTTGGTTGGAATCTTAATAGAGGAAGTTCTGGTCTTGCCCTTAGTGATTTGTACTGCTAACCCAAAGGTTGTACCTTTCCAACCATCACTCTAAAAGAGAATGGTGGACAATCTTCAGCTCTACAATTTATACTTTCAGAAACATGCTGGAGGGTCAGCTATGGGTCACTTTTGATGAGTTTCAGTTTGACTCTTCACAGAAGAGAATCATTTCTCCTTTTCCCCCATGACACCTGATGTCAAGTGCAAGTCTTGTAGACCCATGAGATCATTAAGATCATCAGTTTTCAAACATTAGCAAACTCCACGAAAAGAATGTGTACAAAGTAATTTTATGTAGTATTCTATTTTATTTTACCTGTTATCTTTCAGACAGTGAAAGTTCAAGGCAATGACATTTCCCACAAGCTTCAGATTTCCAAAGTAAGAAAAAAGGATGAAGGCTTATATGAATGCAGAGTGACTGATGCTAACTATGGAGAGCTTCAGGAACACAAGGCCCAGGCCTATCTGAAAGTTGAAACCAACAGTCACGCAAGGAGAATGCAGGCCTTTGAGGCTTCTCCCATGTGGCTGCAAGACATGAAGCCTCGCAGGAATGCCTCTGCAGCTGCTCCCAGCAGCATCCACAGCTCTGCCAATCAGCAGCAGGTGCAATCCACTGCCAGCCCTCAAGCAGTAGCCAAAATCCCCAAACAAAGTCCACAATCAGGTATGGAAACTCATTTTGAGCCTTTCATTTTACACTCACAAACCCTCCACAGGAAGACCGACCTGACAGAGTAGACAGATATCTATCTGACAGATTTTAAAATTAAAGACCTAGTAGAGTTTCAATTATGAGCTTTTCAACTATGCAGACCTGAGGCTGGCTCTCACAGAAGGTGTGAGATTGCCACATTAGTCACTGGCAGTGCCTCAAACCCAGGGGACATAAGAGCTGGACTCTTTCCTTTCCCCTCTGTATGTATACATTATCCGTACAATAAATCTTGTAGTGTTGGTTACATTATAAATGCATGTTCATTTTCTCTACAGATTTATGAATCAATAATGACCTCAATTATGAGACTTATGCTTAATCAAAATGTAAATCCAAGAGATACACCATCTTACCTCAATTTCCAGTGGCCCAAAGCTTTCACAGAACTATTCTCCAACGGTTTTTATTTTGAAGGAGAAACTTCAGCTGCATGTGCTGAAAGTGCTGATTATAGTGGGAGAAAGTGAGGAGGGATAGAGGCAAAGATAAGGCAACCCCTGTAAATGTGCCCCTGATGCCAATTTAGAAGCTTAGTCACACATTTCCTAAGTCAGCTGTGCAAGTTAAAGCTATTCTGAATAGCATTAATTTATGCAATAATTCAGCCAATGGTAACTCATTGAAATTTTAACCTTGGTGTGGGATAAATGTCTTCTTTATATAAGCAATACTCTACATGACCTCATTGATGTTCAGTGTGTGTATGTGCTTGTGTGTGTGTATGTGTGTGTTTCCAAGTACTTGACATTAAGATTATAGGACATAAGGAGCACAAAAATATTATACTTCTCTTTATTTAAAGTTTTCATCTTTACATTCTAACATTGAAAAGTTATTTATATCACTTTATATAAGTATACAATATACAATAGAAAAATCACATTATTACTCAAGATCTCTTCAGTCAGTAAAGAAACATCGTATCACTTTATCATTTGATTCCTGAGTGATTTGTGTGTAGACACACACAGAAACACACATCTATAAATCTTACTTGTAAACAATGTTTTGAAAATATCAGGGAATGCTTGTTGTTGTTGTTATGTGCCGTTGAGTCGCTTGCAACTCATAGCGACCCTATGCACAAGAGCCCTAAACGCTGTTCTATCCTGTGCCAACATCACCATCTCAAACACACTTCTACCGCCCCAATCACAGAATTGAACCATCTCATAGAGGGTCTTCCTCTCCTGGACTGTCGCTCCACTCTCCCAAACATGATGTCCCCCTCCAAGAACTAGTCCTTCCTTGAAACATGCCCACAGTATGTCAGACAAAGCTTCAGAATCCTAGTCTCCAAGAAGCAGTCTGGCTTCACCTTCTCCAGGACAAACCCGTTTGTTCTCCTAGCAGTCCATGGTATATTCAACACTCTTCTCCAGCACCACAGCTCAAAGACATCAATTAGCTTTCTATCATCCCTAGTCACTGTCCAACTCTCCAATGCATAGCAAGCAATTGCGAAGACTAGACCCTGGATCAGGTGCACCTTAGTCTCCAGCCTGACATCGTTGCTCTTCAGTACTCTCGAGAGGTCCCTCACAGCCGACATTCCCAATGCAATTTGTCTCTAGATTTCCTGGCTGTTGTTACCAAGAGTGTGGAATGTGGAGCCAAGGAAACTAAAACTATTAACTGTCTCAATCTCTTCACCCTCCATACTGATTCTGCCAATTGGCCCAGGAGTGAGAATCTTTGTCTTGATGTTGAGCTTCAATCCATATAGTATGCTGCAGTCCTTTATCTTCTGCTTCAGGTCCTCCTCAGTTTCAGCAAGTAGGATTGTGTCATCTGCATAACGTGGGTTGTTGATGACTCTTTCACCAATTCTGATGCCACATTCCTCCTCGTACAGCCCAGCGTCTTGGATGATTTGTTCTATTGAAAAGGTATGGAGACAAAATACATTCCTGATGGATCCCTTCTTGATTTTGAACCTTGTAGTGTCTCCTTGCTAGGAAACATTTTATATACCTCCAATATTGTCTGATTCCTGGTTAAGAATCTGGGGAGATCCAGTCTTTTCTATCACGTCATTTTCTTAATGAAATTTTTCTCTTTGTACTTCATGTATTTGGGTATGTGACTTATAAGGCATTTGGCTGGAATGCCCTTCTGCGATTTCACTGTCCTTCAAGTATAGGTAGTGAAGGCAATTCTCCCTGCTGTCTTGGTTCTATCCAACTGTGAATCTGATGAGTAGATGTCTTAGCCTTTTTGAAGTCCAGTTTTCATAGCTTTCTTTTACTATCCTCTTTATCATATCTTTGATTTCTCAGATTAAAGGTTAAAGTGATATAATCCAGAGTAAAGAATATGTTGATGCCTTAGATATAATTTCGGTAGTCATTATTTTCAGAAACTGAGTTCTGATATCATAACCCATAGTGAATTGAGCTACTAACTCTCTCTGGTGTTTCATATCCACGAGTAGTTCCATAGAAGAAAGAAAGGCAGTTTCCTCCTAGGAGATTTACAGCCTGTGAAAAATCCCCTGGAGAGTCAGCTATGAGTCAGGTTCTGGCTCCACAGCAATCAGTACTTAGTAAGGGTATTCGAAAAACATTTTTTAAGACATTACCCCATGATGCTAGATACTATGTGCAAAACTACAGATTAGCCTTTGTAAATAATTTATGACTTAATTAGTAAGAACTCCCAATCATCGAAAATAAAATTGTTAACCTGCATAGAATATGCCAAGCTAAATAGCATAAATCCATTCTATAGAGTAATTTCTGACCGGCTTTTCCAAATGAAGAATTCTTATCGAAGAGTGAAATCCTCCTTTTTCAGAATTATTTTTCTTTGAGGCTTGTGTTAAATCACACATAAAGTTAGCGTCACTTTCTTAGTGTTGTGATTGGAACAAGATGGTAAACTTTCTGTATATTCTAGCAACTTTCAAGAGACAAAAAACTGCTCAGTTTTCACCAACATTCCTGCCCCACCATCACCACCACTCTTCCTCTCAGGTACAGAATTGTTTGGGTTTTGTTTGTTTGTTTTTCTCTGGAGTAAAAAAAAAAAAGTTTGTGTTTTTAAGTCTTGGGAAAATAAGTATAAATTTTATTCATCATGCATTGCTTTCTTTTTATTGAATCAAAGATGAGATATGGAGAAGACTTGATATTAAATCTCATTTCACAGGTCAACAGCTCTGCTAATCTTTTATCTGTGTGGCATTTGATACACGGAGTGTATCATAGTGATCTATGATAAAAAGTAATAATTATCTGAGTTACAAAAGGCACGTCTAGTTTACTTTTTGTTTTCTCCAAAACCATTGACTTGGTTATCTGGGTTAGTCAGTGAGTGTTTACTACTTCCTAATTCTTTCTAATCCTTTTGATATTTCTTTTTAACTTATTTTCATTTAATTCCAATTGCCAATCAATAATTACAGCTAAAATAATGAAGAAGAATTAAATGTGTGTGTGGGTTTCTTGTTGCCTATTCTTTCAAACCTTTTCTGTTTTTGTGTACCCATGACAAATATTGTTCTCATTTAAATTTGTTTTCTCATTTACCAAAAGCTTAGAAAAAGAGAGATACTAGCAGTGAGTGTTGTGTATTGGTAAAAAAGCACCTAATGTTAGAAGTGTATGAGATATTCAAGAAGAGTTCTGAGGAAAGAGAATTTTCTAGCTGCAAGACTCATGGAGTGCACCTGGAAGGAGAGACTATAGGGAGAAAGTGTTCATAAGATAGATATGAAGCTCTTTCACAGAGGAGAATGGCCTCAAGTGGATGTTGTAAATTGGGGATCTTTCCAGGATGAAGTTATTTAGTTCTTTCTTCACAGAGAGAAAAGATAGATATTTCCTTCATCTCTCCTCCAGTATGTTTTTATGCTGAATATACTAAACTGTTCTATGAGTTTCCTTCCATTTTGTTAAATATCAGTCAGCCATCTCCATAAATCATCTCTATTAGTTCTATTTAGTCCTATTAATGTTCCAATCTTTAGTCTGTCCTTTCTTTTCTAATCTTATATCATTATTGTCTCTCCACCCTAACTACAAATAAGCTATAACACACACACAACTGTGTTTGCAACTTCCTGCTATATCTCCCACTGCCACCATCCACTATCCTTAGATGTATCTGTGTGCTTGATATATCCATGATTATATTCCAACCCCCAGCAATCCTTTCTCTGAGCAATCCTGTGAGAAATTATCTCTTGTAAGTCACTGATGTCTCCTATACCTCCAGTTCAACACCTTCTTGTACCTCATTCATTTTAGTTTCTTTGTAGAATTTGTCCACTGATCACTCCTCTTCTTGATGCTTTACTCATCTTGTCTTATTAGGCTGTGTGTCTCTATTTATTTCTTATTAGCATCTTTCTCTGTCCTTTACTGGATTATTCTCCTAATTTGCTCTCCTAAATATAGTCCTTTTAGAATTCTCAACTCCCTGATCGCATATAGTTCTATAATCTTGACTTTCAACATTTCTGTGGAGTCCCCATACACATTTCTAATTCTTATTTCTTTATGAAAATTCAGGTTAGAGTTCACTGTTGACTCTAAAACATCTTAATCTTGTGAAACACGCAAATGTTTCACAAGTACTATGACAGAATAAATATGGCAGCTCATCAAGATGTAGAGTCTACTTTCTTCTCCTTGAAACTGAGTTGGCCAGTGGTTACTATGGCCAAACAAATATTACTCTGAGAAAAATGTTGATATGACAATTATAGGCCAAGTTTTTAAGTAGCCTGGCATCTTCAACTGTGGTATTTTGAAGGGTAACCACCGTACCAGAAAGACAAATAACTTGAGTCCATCATACTGAGTGAAACAAAGCAAGGCACCAGATAAGTGCTTCAGAAAGCCATCTTGGGCATCAAGGTTACCTCGTGCTGATATCTCCTTGGAGCCTGACTAACTCAAGCAAATATAATCAAGCTGAACCCAGATAATACAGAGAAATGTGAG